CGTGAGATTCGACTCGGGATGAATCACCATCGGTCAATTGAGCGCCACGGAGGCGTTTAGTTGAGACATCGGGCTTCTCCACTCCACGATGTGAAAAGGGATTCGAAATGAGTCTCTTGTGGCGATAAGGCTTGCCGGATCAGTATTTTCTTGGTGGTTCGTAGTATGAGGTGGGACAGAACCAGCGAACGGATGAAGAGCCAGCATCTCCGACTCCGGCCCGATGCGAGATGAAATTTGACAGAAAACGGGTGCTATCCGTATTGAATTCGGGAGTGAAAGTTTGTAGTGCACAGCCACTATGCTGAGGGGCGAAATGGTCGAAAAGAGGGGCTTTTCGATGTTTCTGCTATTGCTCTTCTGTGCGGATCTCACTATTATTTTGTTCGAGCTGACGCATCCGTTAGCAGCTGAGTTCTTGAGAGGAACTCATACCAACCATTGTTCCTTTGACACTTTGAGCAAACGCATGCGGATGCAACTTCTCTCTCCGCCTTATCCAGAGCAAAAGACCACAGTCATCTCCAACGATGCCTTATCCCGCTGGCAGCCGACTGATATCTCAGACACCAACACCCCGCAGTTTGGTATCAGGAAAGCCCGCAATATTCCCACCCATCAAATGTCGACATCCCACCAGTCTCTCATATCGAATGCCATATTGCCTTATATCGCATTTCGGGAGCTTCCCGCCTCCGACGCATACTGACACCTATTGCAGAACCAGGTTGCCCACCTGCATCCCCGCACGGGTAGACACGTAACCATCTTGTAAGGGGCAGTTCCAAGGGCGCGGTGTTGTTCCATGGGAATGGTACTCGGCTTCTGGTACCTCTCTGGGTGAAGAAGAGGAGAATACTCATGTGAAGTTGACGGGACAGCGGAGATGAGTTGCTATTCCTGTCTTGTTGGTGTCTTGAGAGCGGCGGATGCGTCTGACGGGACTGTCATCAGTCTAGGCTCTTGAGGTGCTCATGACAGCTCTGATGGTCGTATGCTCCTCTGTCTAGCGATTGCGGGCACTGAGGTTGTCGAGGCACCTCGTTAACGCGTTGGCTCATGCTCATTGCCAGCCGAATCGACGTCCCACATCAAACTTCTCCGTACGCCAACTGTGAGTGGCTCGTCAGTCAAGGCAGGATATTACCGTGCACTTCTTACCGGTGTAAGTTGAGATCTCTCTTTCTGTACTCGAGTTTGGCATAGGTTGTTGTGGGGAGGGGCTTGTTGGATGATTCCGTCATGGATTAAGGAAGGTGGTAGCCCTCGGAGAAAACGGAAGGCAGAATCACGGGACTGCGGCGCATTGTTAATTCTCATATAGTATCTACTCATGTATAGACATCTTCGGTTCCATAGCTCAGTTGGTTAGAGCGTGGTGCTAATACGATCAGTGTTGACACGCCAAGGTCGAGGGTTCGACCCCCTCTTGGACCATTTGTTTTTTCTTTTTTCTTCACAAGCCTTTTTCTTTCCGTCACACTCGTTTGCTTGCTGACGTTGAGAGAACTTTCGACGACATTCTTCTTCCTTCTCAACAACCACCCTCTTTATACTTTATGCAGGCAGCAATATCTCTTTTAGTCAAAACTTCCATATCGCTCAAACCTTTGTCTTTCAACCCAGCGGATTCACATTCAACATTTGGTATTTTCCGAACACAAGGCAACGCTACTCTTTACCTCTCAACCTTTATTCGCCCAACCATAAATTGATGCCACTGGAAGCTCGACTACCTGTCCTCAGATCACCTCAAAGATATCGCGAAAAATAAGTCTCAATCATCACCACCTTCAACCGATTGGAATTGTACATCACAAGTACTCAAGAGGACAAACATGACAGCCGGTCAAACAAAGCAACCTGGAACGGGCCTCGTCGCTTCTTAGCACAACCCAGACGAGCAATACTTGGGCGGAGAGCACTATCCGCAAGGAGATAGGTTTGCAATTGTGGACTTGCTGACGATGTTAGGACATGATTACAGCTGTCACTCCTGCTACCTGAACCAAAACGCTACATGATGCAATAATGTAGTTGCGACTGCGAATCAACGGGCTTCGGTACTCAGAAAACGCATCATTCAGAGTCAGAGAACGCAAGACAAGAGGAGGACCGACGTTTTTGGAGATCCTATACTTCGTATCCCATGCAATGATTGGACGGCGGTCTGCAAAGGAAGTTTTGAGTTTCGCTCATGGACCTGGAATGGACTTCGGTCTGCAGTTATCGGGTCCAAGCGTGAGTTCAGATGTCCTGAACGGTCACTCGATGTTTCCGGTTGCAGATAGGCAAACGTACGCATTCTGAACGAAGCCCACATACTTAAGAGGCGGAATGGAACAGAATTACTCTCAGTTCGTGCTCTCTGCTCAAGTTTCCTTCTTCCTTCGTTCTTTTCTTTTCACTTCACTTCCTTCACTCCCTTCGCTCAATTCCCACCCAGGTAATCCCTCTTCCCACTCAAAACCTCACAACCTAACCTGTTGGCCAGCTCTCGTCCACCGTCGCCATGCGCTGTTCTCCGATCCGTCTCATCTCCGTCCTTCTCCCACTCGGCTTTGCGATCACGGCCAGCGGATTGCCGACATTCATATGGCCTGGGTTGTTTCCCGGTTACGTCCAGTCGAAAGGAAACCCTGCTGTTCAGCTTGGCAAGGACCTCCAAGACGGCTTTCTCCTTCCCATCAGGATTGTTGGAGATGTTGTCGAAGCTAAGGCTGATTTGCTTGGCCATCTCATCCCTCACCCTAAGGTCCCGGTTCCAGTCAAGCCTGTTCCTTCCAAGACGGTAGTTGCGCCACAACAAACGGTTACCGTTACTGTTCGACCCACCAAGACTGCTGATGTCAAGACCGTGACTGTTACCAGAGTCAAGCCGGGCAAGGTTACCAGTACTCCAGTGCCTGTCTATGGTTCGGACTCTGAAGACGATGTTATTGTCTACGTTACACGCACAGCTGATGTTCCATCTGCTACCGTCATCGAGATTGACGAGGAGGATGAAGAAGTTATCGTGACCGTCACTGAGGGCGTAGCCGCTGCTACTGCCGCTGCTGCCAACTTCGTGAAGGCAGTTGGACAAGCTTAGGTGGTCCAGAACTCCGAGTCTGGAATTGGCTTCTATGTCGGAATTGAAGCAGATGTGTATTACTCAGTGGACGAGTAGTTTTGAGGGATCTTGGTTATGGGATCGGATTCAAGATGGGAATTGGCGAGCAAGATAACAAGGGCGGACAAAATAATATCCAAAAGTTGCTTTTTATTCTTTCTTCATTCATACTCTGTTGGTAGCTGACTTCTTATACTACTTGGCTTCGGCTGCCGTTAACGTTTCCTCCTGGCCCTCCACCATGTCCTTCCCATTCAAACGTGCCCAGGCCAGATCCTTGATCATTAAGAGATGGGCCAGCTGCTTCTGTTCATCCCACTCCTCCGGATTAACGTTGTAGGATGTATTCCATTGGACATACATTCGTACGACCTCTACTCTGAAAGCCTGTGTCATCACATCCAACCCATCCTCCGTGGCTGAAGCCTCTGTCTCTAGTGCAGTTTTGCTGGGATCATTTTCCCCATCATGCATCTGGGTTGCACCGGTCGTTTCTACCAACTGAAAATGTTACTTACCAATGTTGCTGCAACGTTGATTGTTGCTTGCCGGATTTGATCTTCTGGGAGGAATGGATGTACTTACTGTGTTTGCCATTCTGCTTTCTGGTTTTAAGAGGAGATGGTAGGCTGGTTGAGTGTGTGGAAGGTTTGAATCCCCGAGAGTGACTTCGCGAATCTGGCGAAGATGGTTGAAAGCTTGTTTTGGAGAGAAAGAGGGTCTTGGTTTAGAAGTCTAGTTATCATGATCTATTAAGAAATTTGAGAGATTCTTCTTAAGGTATGTTAGGGAGTTGTGGAAAAGCACATCGAGGAACTCGAAGTGTTGAGGATAATGGTGCGGCGAGCCACCGCAGGCCCGAAGCGGAACCATTGCTTAAGCGGAACATGAGCATAAGCGCAGACGCAATATGAGTTGCATTAGAACAGTCTCAGTACACTAGCAGTTTTATTTCATCCTCATCCGAACATTCTCAATCAATTTCCATCGGCCACAAGGAGCAAAACAAGATCGGAATATGTATAGGTACGAATAGTCCCTCAGTTGGGATTCTCCTCAGTGGCGCTCTAAGAAGCAGATCAATCAGGCGTTATGCCATTGGGTTTAGTTGCGCAATCGATTTCCTAGCTACGTATACTCCTTCATCTACTAATAAACTCCACCTCATTCAATGTACATCCTGCACAATCGATGCAATCCTCATCCATCCGGCAGATTCCGGTGCATCTGTCATTGTATCCTCTCGTTTACAAAGCCGTAACAAGATATATCTCTTCCCATTAAGTACCAGCCAGGAGTATCCATACATACCACACTACAAATCGAGAAGAGACTGACCCACCTTCCTTCTGTTCTCCAAAACCGCCAATGCAGTTTCTTGTACAGTGGAACATCCAGTTTCAAGTGAAGGTTCCTTCGAGGTGTTTTTATGCGACCGTGAGCAAAGATTTGAGGCACCGCTGGCATCGACTTGCCAGGCGAAACTGATGCTCAAACTCTGAGAGTGATAGCAAACACAACAGATCCAAAGCCCTTGAAGTTCGTGCTCGTCGTCTGAAGTCAGGCATCTGTATGCTGGTTGTTCGGCTTCGATCGGTTGTTTCTGAGATGCCGCGAAATTGCTGTTGACTCTGTTCCTAGCCAAGATAAGAGCCAAAGCCCATTATGCATTGACCAGTGGAGAAGGCATAAAGGAGTGTGAGTTTGCGGATGAAGGTGGAAGAACGAAGAGATTGTAGGAAGTACAAAGTTGAGTGCCGCAGAAAAAGGAGAAAAAGAAGGCAGGTAAAGATCAAGCTGATCAGGGAAATCCAGTGCGTCTGAATCATCATCCTGCACATCCGATATATCCAGCTTCTGTCAGCATTTTCCTTATGGAGGCTGACATGTCCTTCCTAGTTGCCACTCGAACAACCTCCATGTCATTCTGCTCCTTCTATGCAGCTGCATGCTCGAGAGCCGCCCGCTGGCGATCAGCAGCCTTCCTCCTAGCTCCTGAAGCAATTGAATAAAGCAAAAGACCAACTAACACATGAAACGTGATGCAAATCAGCAGATAGCAACAGCTGGTCTTCGACCATCTACACTTGCGACGTGCTTTCTTTGCTTTCCGTGCAATCCTTCCAAGCCTGAGACGGGTCTGTGACTCCACCTCATAGTACTCCGGGAGTGAAAGGAAAGTTTCAAGATCGTCTTCGGTGTATTCGGGAAGGATATCGAAACATTCGGTCGACTCGGTAAAATACATCGGTGGAGGAGCGGCTACGACGTCTATTGCTTTGAGGGGAATCGAGGGATATGTGGTACCCGTTGGTGACTTGAAGGCTGTGCCGCGGGAGGTGTACCGCGAGAGGTGGAAGAGGGAGGGTCTTTGAGGGCGAATGTGGACTGGCTCCGGTTTGAACGCTGTACTTTGCTCTTGGCTCATACCTGCCTGGCCCGGGAAGGTGGTTGCTGACATTGGAGGAACGTTTGCAGTTGGATGGTGGAACTTTCGTGATTGCTGAGAGCGCCGACCGGGTGCGAGTGAGTGTCTGAGGTAGATAGTAAGCAAACCCTCGTGGACAAAGAAAAAGAGTTGGCATCTTAAGTGTTGATGTATGGAAATCTGCTGAAATCTGGCCAGTGGTACTGATCTGGCTTCCTAGGCACTGGCAGGGTATTCAGGTTATCCGTGGAGGTTGAATTTTGCAAATGTTAGCCGACTGTTGAGAATTTGCGTAGGATGGTGTAGAGGGAATAAAACTTTAATGGTCGATTGGATTTCGAAGGTGTGTTAGTATCGGAAAAATATTCCGGTAGAAAGTCCCAGGAGGTTCCGTGGTTGAAGTCCGCCAAGAAGCTAGCCTGCCCACTCCTCGAGTTCCCCACGCCCCACCAGCACAAGTGGTGGAACAAATATAAGTGTACTACAGCAAGCATACCTTAAGTACCTAGGTACAGGTATACGTCGCATAAATGATTGTTTTTTTATCGTTCGAGAAAGCAGAGCCGTACACTATTGTCGAACTGTTGGTGCTCAAAACTCCAAATCACCACCAGAATTCCGAGTCCCAAGGTCGCGCAAAAGCTTTCGCAATATTTGTTAAGGCCGGAAACTCAAACGACTCCGAGTTCCCGCGGGCTGCTCAGTTATTCTTACGGTTGTTCCGTTGACAATTTGGCGAGTTGTTACATCTTTGCATTTCTTACTGAGGTTATATGTTCTGACGGCAGGCGACAACTCCATCCCCATCCAGCATCATATCCGATTCAAGTTCGATCCTCAACCGTCACCCCAGAGACGCCAAAAAAACCACCCACAAACAAATCTCAAAGTCACTTTCCAAAATCCAAAAATGTCGAAATGGCGCAATCTCACCAGAGAGGAACAGCTTCAAATTGCATTCCTCGCCAATGATCGAATCTGGTACGGAGAAACCTACATGCCAGCCAGCGTTCCTCAACCAAACATCCCAGATGAGGTCGCCATTATCGTCAGGGAACAACTAGCACTAAAGAGTAACTCCCATACTGAGAACGCATTCAAGACCCCAACTAACCATGTCTCAACAGGAACTTCAATCCCCCAAATGATTGGCTACGAAAGCGACATCCTCCGAGTTTGGGGAAGGAAATCAGACCGATGGCCAATGCTCAAGCACATTGCCGACTTCTATGAGCTTCCAGAGCCTTACGGCATCAAGGACCGGGTCGTTTGCATTCCGGAAGGCGTTTACCCCCACAAATATGTGTTTGATTCACTCGTCAGGGTGGGGGCTCTACCGAAACATTTGGAGGATGTGTATTTGGATCCCCGTTTGCAACGTTGGATGGAGTTTGAGGAGAAGCAGGAGAAAGTTGTCTTGCTCGTCAAGAAAGTGTTGAGTACGCTTGGCACTTGCGCTGTTGTGGTTGGTGGGAAGGTCGTTGAGTGGTCAAAGGAGCTTATCGGAGTTGAGGAACCGGAGGAATTGGATGTTGGCTGGGTTAGTTTGGAGGATGACGAATTTAGCTAGAATAATCAGGTCAAGGACCAAGTTAATGGGCAAATACTAATTTACACTACTACCTAGCAGCTTTCCATAATAGACTAAACGTTGGTGGTATGCATATAAGGTTTCGTGGTGTAGTTGGTTATCACTTCTGTCTAACACACAGGCGGTCCCCGGTTCGAACCCGGGCGAAATCACTTTTTGTTGCGCAACTTACTTTGCCTCGGCCCAACCTGCCAGGAGCCGAAAGAAGTTCTTCAGTTCAACCCTGGATAAAATAAGTCTTTGCTGTGTCCTTCTGAGCGCTCGAGCTCTATGTTCATAACATTGGCTTGAATAGCACACTGCACAAAACCTTGATATTTCATCTGCGCAGCTGCAGCCAGTTCAGCGACGAGCTAGCCTGTGTTGCAATTTCCGTGCACAATGCAATACTATGGTGCCTTTCTATCCTGTCAAACCGTCTCCTTCCCAATCCAACACATCCGATTCTACCAATCAAATGGCCGGTAGCCCTATAAATAAGCCGATGAACTCTAATTCCCATACACTCTTCTCTTCACTTCCTTATTCGCTCCATTTGGATCCATGGATCGAGTCCGTCGTCCTTGCAGCTTCTTCTAGCTATAGCGGCTGGTACAAAACAACGCCGCACCACGAAGCCCAATGCATGCGCAAAGTGAAGCAAGAAGAAAGGGGATACGTGTATCCTAAGAACCGATATATATACGGAAGGGAGCTACGACCGCTGATTCTGATCTTGTCAACAGTGCAAGCTCTTTCAACAAATAGAGAAGACAACGAATCCAACCACGGGGAGAAGGCCTATCAACTCATCAAGATCTAGAACAAAGCCAGTTTACGCTCGCTCTACCTTCGAATTCCTACTTGCCTCGCAAACTGAATGACATCCGCAGACACATACCACGTAAAAGACCTGTTGCACGAAGCCATTAAAATGCACAGTGATGAGGTACGAGAAGTTCTAGCGATAGCTTCGAGAGACACGAGTAGTCCCTTAAGTAGCTACTGGCTCAAGCTCGCGCCCGAGAAAAATAGTTTGTTACTACTACGAGACTCGAGTCAAGTTCGTCACGAGAGCCAGGACTTCCGAAGCTGCCACATCACGCATACGAGAACATTGACTTACATAGTAGTTCGTACGTACAAACTCAGTACAATCAACTCTCTCTCATCCCACCTTCTTTCAAACTTTTGAGTACTACGTTTTCTCATGAGCCGACTCCATTGACACGAAAAGCGTACGTACGGGTACCACAAACCTGTTCTACATTATAAACAACATTCGATCGATTTCACGAGTAAAGTAAAGTGAGGAAAAGGGGATGCATTGACAAGTTTTACGAGTAGGGACGCATTGCAAGACAGACAATCGACAAGAAGAATGCGACACGAATACCAAGTAGCGTAGACATCGACATGTTCATAGAACACAATTCAGATTCCAGTTTCACGAGAAATACTTAGTTCGACATCATGACATTCAAGTAAATGGATCGCCACACGTCTTTCCTGCAGATAAAAGAACGAGTCACGGTAAATCTTCTTGCTATGCGCAGCAAAACAGCTTCGACATCGGTAGTAAGAAGTATGTGGAACAACAATACGCACAATTGGATCACACCAATGGACCTCGAGTTCACGCTAACTCGCAAATATGGAAATCGATGTGTTACTTGTGCTTCAACACACATGCATTTGTAAGTACAAATACTTAGAAGTACATACTGCTTCCTTCGCCCATTTTGCACATCGAGTTTAGTAATATGCCTGATGAACCTGAGCACGCATATTTCTATGTGCAGGACTGCGTGCGAACCGCGATCTGTCCACCAGTCCAACTACCGTTCCCCATCCAAGCGTACGAGGAAACCTACAACCAAGAGCAAAGAGGACGTGTTTCAACACCGCACGTACAACAGCGGAATACAAGTAGCCTTATCTGCATTGTGTTGAAAAGATGTTAAAGACCAGCCTCACGAGAAAGACCACGTCAATAACAAGAACTAAGAGAGTAACAGGACGTCGCTAGAAGTTTCCAAAAGCATGAAACACAACGAGAGATAACAGCCCAACATGAGCACCCAAAACAAGGACAGACTTCCTAATCTTATACTTGTCCGTCTCCTTATACCACATCCCCTCCGGAATCAACTCCCATTGAATGGGCAAGAAATAGGTCAACCCCAAGAAAGCATAAGCCCGAGCCACACTGCCTCCAAAGGCAAAAAAGTAAACGATTGCAAGAATAAAAGCAATATCTCGGTGGTTGTAGAAGTATCTGATTGTTGGATCTTGCTTGATGAAATTGGTACCATCGTCCTCCTCCACAGCCCAAGAATCGTCAACTTCAACCGCAACCTGCCTCTTCTTCTGTGCTTCACGAACTCTGGCAGAAAGCGGAACTTGACTCTTGCGGCCTGCATGCTCCATCTTCATGCTGTAGGTTGGGTAATCTTTGATGAGGTCGTCACAACGTTTGCTGCAGTAGGCCGATATGTGTGAGTACATCTCTTTTGATTCTGTGATCAAAGACAGGATGAATTGCTTGACAGCGTGGTAGCATGCAATGATGTTGGCGATTCCAAAGCTTATAGCTTCTTTGATCTGAGTACTGCTTGGCCAGTTTGATTCGATTTTCTCGAAGAAGGTCTCCAACCTGCTGGAGTGTTGAATGAGCCATGGCTTCGAGGCCCTCCAGCCTTTCTGGGTCAAGACGCAAATTCCATCAAAGGTAAGCCTGAGTAGGGCAAAAAAGAGAGCTTCGAGCGCATCTTTCCGAAGGGAAGACTTGCAGTCACAAACGCAGTTGCTGAAGAAGGAAGATCCGACCTCTGTGTGTGGTTGGTTAGCGAGTAACTCTATATCTGGTGAGCGCACTTACTATCACACTTCTTGCAGGTCTCGCCCTTCTTTTCTGTCGGCTCCTGTGGCTCCTGTGGCTCCTTTTGATCCTTTCTCTGTGGCTCTTCGTGCTGGCTGTCCGATGAAGCCTCAGATGCATTCTCGTGCTGGTTTCCCTGAAATGTCTTCTCGTGCTGGCTTCCCTCAATTGCGTTCGTTTTCTCGAAACTGGCTTTGCGCTCTTGCTCTTCTGGGTCGATTGGGTTATGCATGGTCGCGGAGTCGTGCTGTGATTGTTGTGATTGGGAGCTGTGGCGGTAGATGTGGCTGTCTTTCGATTCTTAAAGAGTACATCTGTCAAGCTATCGATCTGGCCAGCATGGCCCCACGGCAGGAAATAGCCATGATGCTGGCGGGCCTTCCGAACGTTCTCCGAGTTTCCAGACCCAGAAAGCGTGACAAGCTTGACTCACGATCCTCGCAACAGACCACGCAGCAACATCATTCCCAGTCGAAACCGCATTCGGTGGCCGATAAGCTGAGATGATTCGAGCTCGCTGGTGGCCTTAAACGAGATGTCGATCGTGATTAGGGACCTTTGTTACGGCACCGATTGGCCAACTTCTCGGCGAGGGTCTTGAAGTATTCGACGAGGCCCGAGTTGGTGATGGCAATCGTAGAGCTGAGGGGTCGTCGAGGCAGTTGACGAGGAGTGTGTACCTGTTCAGGTACTGTACCCATCCATACTCGTACAGAGTCCTTACTAAGCCT